TTGACACGCTGGAGCTGGTACGCATCCGCACGCTTGATTAGGAGCGGTCGAGGATAAACCTTTCGCAGGCCAGAAACCTTGAACGGAGAGATATCGGCCTTGTACAAGCGAGTCAGACGCTCCAAGGGATGGGCAGAGCGTTCAATTCCCACGTCTGTAATCCACGTTCTGTAAGCACTATACAGAGCCGTGAAGCACGCGACGTCGTCTTGCTGGTTCGCGTTCAAGAAGGAATGAGTTTGCGACAGTGTCCTGCCGACCTCCTCCCGGAGATCGTGCACACGATTATAGAGAGGATCATCCGTGGTCAAGACGTATCCAGCCGGGTACTGGAAGGTGCGCTTGAGTTCGTCGTCGTCGGCGATTTCGGCCAATGGGTCGTCATCCTCCTCCATGATTGTGTCACCGGCCTCATCAGTGCCCTGGTTATCACTGGAGCCACCCGCTTCTCCTGACGCACGGATAGGGTCAAAAAGAGTCGAGACACCTGAGATCAAAAGACGAAGTGCTGTCAAGCTCCTCGAGAGCTCATCCGACCACTCCTTGTTCTTTCCCTTTCTGCTAACCGGAGGATCATCACTCATGAGCTGCATGAGCCTCTCCGTAGCGCCACGGGCCTCGCTCTCGAATAGCTCGACTGCAAAGGCAACTTCGGCGGGAGACGGCCGGTGCCACTTGATGGTGAGTTCGGATGGTGGCGTTGTGCGACCCCAGTCGTTAACATCGAGGCCGCGAGCAATAACATCGGGCTCAAATAGAGCATTGTCGATTGGATACGTGTGGGTAAGGTTCAGCAGCAAATGATGGACGTAGTTCGATATATGAATGGTAGGCAGACCACGACACTTCTCTTGCATATACTTGGCGATGCCGAAAAGCTCGTCCTTGTACTTAAGAACCTCACCACCGACATGGACCACGCACATGCTGAGCATGCTCACATGCCAGACCAACGCTCTGTCCCTGGGAAGCACTTCAGTGCCACTGCTTCGATCTGATGCAGCGCCGTTGTAGTCAATCTCATTGCGGATATTGACAATCAGCATGGGAATAAAGACCTTTAGAGTCTTTTCAGGGTTGACCTTGCACAGAGCATTGCAAATCCATGCCATAGCATCACGAGCCTGGTGCACAACATGTGTTGACACAAAGTTTGCGAGCTTCTCCAGCGCCGAGTCAAAGATCTGAGGGGAGAGAGACGCGAACAACGGTGTGAGCGCAGCTGGGAGAGTGTTGATCACATTGTCCTCTGGCGAGCCCGTTCGTAAATGGCTCGCATCTGGAAGGTTCTCTAGCAAGGCAAAAACCTTGCCTAGCAAAGCCATGACGAACTCCCCAAGGCCAGCGGTGGAGGATCGAAGGATGTTTGCTTCGTCTTCGTCACTGAGCTCCTCGTCGTAGTTGATCTTGACATCTTGTCCTTCGTGTTCCATTCTCTCCATCTCGCCCTGAACCCAGTTCATCGCAAGAATGGTGTCATGAATGTCGCGATTCTCGTCGACCAGCGGGACGAAAGGGATGCTGTATGCTACACTTTGGATAAAGTTCAAGGTGTACTGTGTTTTGTTGAGATCGTTGGCATCAATGCCGGGCAGGGCCAAAGCAAGTAGAGCAGTAATGTGGCAGCGGTACCCCTTTTGCTTCGACATGATGTTGGCAATCATTTGAAGACTGCAGAGACTCGATGTCGTCCGATGCACCTCTACAAGCCCTTGCAAACTGGGGTAGAAGCGCTGCAACGCACCAGGAAGCATCAGGTCTGGCTCGAGGTATGTGAGCCCCTGCAAGGCGGTATAGTAGTAATTGACGACCTTTGAGCTCTTGGCAAAGAGACCCATGAAGACGACCTCTCTGAGGGAGAGCACGAATCGCTTCTTCAAGGCGTCGTTTATCCGACGGTCTGCGGGAAGACCCAGCTCGCCACTCTGTTCACGATTCCAGCGTGAAACGAAAATATCGGTCAAGAAGAAAGTCAACTGGGCGAGAAACATGGACCACGCTCCCTGGTTCGAAGGGTGGAAGAATGTGTCTATTGACTCCATTAGACCCTCGAGATTGGACATGATGGAACTCTCCTGGTCAAGGCAAAGCGGTGATATCGAGTGCACAATCCACCGAGCAACCATGTAGGGTACTGGGTACTTCTTCTTGTCCTTTTCCAAATAAATTCCCAGGCCAGACGAATAATCAAGCGAGGCATATGGTGAGTTGGCTTGCCCAACAGGAATTTCCGTCAGTCGTAGAATGGCTGTAAAGATAAGGTCGGATTGTTCGCGAGTGAAGATGCCATGCTCAGTGAATGGAACGTGTGTACAGCCTAGATAATCCCTGGCCATTCGGGAAAAGATGTCAATGAAGCCCACGTCAAACGCCTTGGACCGGGTCATAAGGGACCACAAGTGAAAGAAGGTAGGCAAGAAGTCAGAGGGTGCTGACTGAGGCTCGGTTGGGGGTGCTGGACCGGTCGGAAGCAGCGTGTTGATAGCACCAGCCACGATGTAGGCATTAGACAAGTCGGAGGTGCTGAAGTAGGGCAGCAACTCGTCCAATATCGCGCGGCGTTCCTTGGGGTCGAAGTAGACGCTCCCATGAAGACAGAGCTTCATAATATGTTTCTGAGCACGCTTCCTGCTGCCTTGGTGAGGGGCCGTCTCCGAAGGAAACACCAGACCCTTGAGCTCTTTCCACAGTGGTCGCCAGTCTAGCGTTAAATCCTCGACTGGCTTCAGGTAATGCCGCTTGCGCGTCAAGGTGACTACCATTCTCGCAAACCTATCGGCCGTGTTGGTGTCAAGACCGGGGGCCAACGCCAGATGGTAGTAGAGACGGGCGAGACGGGCGCGAAGCTCCCTGGTCATCTCAAATTTGAGGTTTAACCATCCCTGAAGCTCGCGAGTCCAGTGTACAGCACCTGGAGAAAAGTCCTCGGCCATTACAGAGATGTAAAGGTTCTTGAGGATGCCGTTCAAAGCGGCATCCCTGTGCGACTCCTCCTCAACATCGAATGGAAGTAGGCGGAAGTAGCTGAAGGTCCGGGGACGGTAGCGCTTCTGGTCATCTTGGTCTAAGCCATTACATGGCAGTCCGGGGGATGTGGCGCGGGAAATGGTGTCGGCGGAGGCCAGCAAACCGCCGAGGAACATGGAATGCGCTCCTTCAGCACCAAAGTGGCCAGCGGCGCCGGGATGCGCATCTAGAGACTCGTCCATGATTTGGTATAGTAGGTCGGCTAAGCCAAGGGGCTCCCTGTAGGCTAGGTCGACGAAGTGATTGGAGAAAGAGCCTCGAGGGCGTGGTCACACAGAACCGTTGGGGTTGAGGGGTTGCCGTGTTTCACAGATTAGCGAAGTCGACCGGGTCCTAGACACGAGGCTGCGATGCGGCTGTCGCGGGGTTGTGTCGAGGAGGAAGTGTCGTGGGCGACTCGCAGGTGGGAAAACGGTTCGAGGCTGGCTTAATTCAGTTATTGCGATGTGATGGTAGCTGATCGGCAAGTCTGCGACCTTGACTCGGAAGTAAAGGCGTGGTATGGATGAACGGATAGCGGATGTTTAAGTAGTGGTAATGGTTCGGGGCAAATGGATTGCGACAGCCGTCGACAGCCTATTACGACCACCTTGGGTGTTTAAGACAAGCTTAGAGGACCTGGGAAAACAGGAAGCTGGGGTTAGCTTATTGGTTCCCAGTGTATGAATGACCGAACAACGGGTTACAAGGCTGAAGGAGTAGTCGTAATGGTATCGCACTGGGAGTGGTGAGGATGGTGATGGCAATAAATGTCTAGCAGATGAATCCCAATGTTTCAAGATGCAGGGACGCTTTGGCAAGGGGGGTGCTGAGGAGGTCAAGGGTTGCCTTTCAAATCAGGACATACGTGACGTGAACGTCTCTTGTGTTGATGGGTGTGTTGATGGGTGTTGGTCCGGGTGGGTTGCAAGGGTCTCCAAAGGACTTTGTCAAGGCTGGATGTTTGAATCTTGAAGTCGGTGGGTGGCTCCTGTCATCTGGCATGGGGATATGACATTGGGACCCGGGGGGAAGTGGGAGGGGGATGGGTGGTTTGGACCATGACCATGGAACTTACAGAAACCTGTCCGTCCAGCAAAACAAGCAATCGCCACTGGCAGATCCAGTCTCGCGCAAAGCAACTTCGTAATATGCTGGGTACCTAGACGTAAAGAGAGAAAAAAGAGAAGACTCCAAAAGGAAGGATCGGATATGGGATGCGGCGAACGATCTGTAACGTGTCAGGGAACACAGGAGGTTAGGCAGGGCTGATGATGCACAATGTTTTGAATGCTTCCTCCAAAGCTCCCGTCCTTCTCAGCTGTGCAGTGATGCCGGAATTGGGGGGAGCTTGGGCCTGGCTGATGGAAGCCAAGTGGTAGCATCGGGCGGGCAAGAGGGGCGCCCCCTCCTTATCTTATCGTTACTGCCATGGTTGCAATCATTGGGGAAGTCGGTAAGGCAGTGTACGTAACCCGCCAGGCATAAGAGAGCTTACCTCATCATGCTGGACCGAAGTGGATACAACGATGCAGGGGGCAATTGACACAATGACATGCTCCATTTCCACGGCCATCTGCTTCGTTCTTTTTTCCGAACTCCCTTCCATTTCCAAGAGCAAACACACACCATGATATGCTGTCACCAATTATTCAACCGAACAAAAATGAAGATGCGCGCCTTCCAAGGTCGTGGCATACTACTTACGGAACCATTGATGCCTAGAGGGTTGGCAACCGGTTGTCCAGCATAATCAATTTCTTTGTCCGTGCAACATGCCGCCCCGTCCAAAGACATCGATTCCATCTTCACAAACAGTAATAACGGTATCACCAAACTCAAGAATGAAGGTGTTGAATGGTATATCCCGTTCGCTGCCAACCAATGCGGTATCACATCCATCTTCCTGCTTTATTCTGTTTACGCTGCCAGGCTTCACCACTTCTGTCAAACGCAAACATGAACGCTGTGAACAGAAGCAGCTTCGAAAGCGATTATTCCTCCTCTGAAGGCTCGGATTCATGGGCCGTTTGCTCCCTCTTCGTCTCTGCACTCTTGGCCTTTGGCTTCCCCTTCTTTGGTTCGTTCTTGCTCCCCGCCTCGTTTTCATAATCTCCTCCCTGTGCCTCGTACTCTTTGGCGAGCTTCATACCCTTCCACGCAGACCATTGGCCGACGCCGTCGCCCGACTTGTTGGGTTCTTGTTTGATCTCTAATTGTGGGCTTGTCAGTATGCCGTCCAACAATACACGAAAAAGGATAACTGCGCTGAGGTTTGTATCTTACCTTCTTTGAGCTCCTCGCGGAGCTCTGGATCGGTGGGTTTGCCTTTGCTGCTTGGCATCTTGGTGGATGAATGCGTGTAATTGAACAGCAATGGATGTTGTTGGATTCGTGTCAATATTTTCAACACTTCATATGACTGTGAGGGAGATGCTTTGAAGTCTTTGCATCTGTGAAGATTACGGCCACTTATATATAAGTACTTCATCCGGTGTGATGCATCTATGACATGGCTGGCTTGGAGGCTCCCGATTGCGGAAGTCTTTTCTTCGCCGTGAATCAGCTGCAAACAAGAGGAGCAAGAAGAAGGGTTCTGGGCTGTGCATGCCTATTACATCACTGTTTGAGGTGCTCTCTACGAGCCACATGGCCCGCTTTGATATTTACGGCACAAAGACATCCCAGTACTAACACTGAAACGGGAAAGGCATGTCTCACACCCACGAAGCCGATCCCATCAACACGGAGACAGCCGTCCCAAGTTCCATCACCAAAAGTGCAGGCTAAACCAGATCATCGACATCCACTGTGTAGTCTACCCATGCTCACTCTCGCTTGTGCATTTGACACAAGACACACGGCTGACAACCTCGTCCACCTCGGAATGTGGGGATGAACACACTCGACACAACAAAAGTTTCCATCGGAACCTCAAATGATACGGTTAAGATGCGCGACGCAGAACAAGGTACTGGTTTTATTCACGAAGCTTCCAATAACAGTCAAACTAACTAAAAAACACAGGTAGTCTGCCACTAAGCTCATAATAACTGAGAGAACTCCAGCATCTAGTTCTTGACAGCATAGATCTTGTAAGAACCAACCCACTCGTTCAGATCCTCCTTCTTCTCAACCTCGGCCTCGGGCTTCGCGGAGGGCTTGCAGCAAGAAGAAGACACCTCAGCAGGCTTGCAGGAGGACGACTCCTTCTTCTCAGCAGGCTTGCAGCAAGAGGTAGTCTCAGCAACCGGCTTGCAGCATGAAGGAGATGAAGAAGCAGCAGGGGCACACTCAGTCTTCTTCGGCGCGCAGCACGAAGACTTGCTCTCCTCCTTGGGCTCCTCAGCAGCGGGAGCAGCAGGCTTGCAGCACGAAGAAGAAGCCTTCTCCTCCTTCACCGTGCCAGGAGGCGCGCAGCATCCACCAGTAGCAGCCACCTCCTTGACCGTTCCAGGGGGAGCGCAGCATCCGCCCCTGTTGCCCTCCTCATCAGTATCCAAATAAACATTGATATCAGCGCCCGTATCCTGAATCAGCACCTGATCAAACCCGGCCTCCTTCAGCCAAGTCTCATACTGCTGCTTCTCGCTTGCGCCCGCAATGCAGCCGACATACATAGCGATGTCATTCCTCAACTTCTCCGGCAGCGGCTTCTTGGCGAGGATATCGCTGACAGCCACACGACCGCCGGACTTCAAGACACGGTGCATCTCCTTGAACACCAAAGGCTTTTCAGCCTCGGGAACAAGGTTGATGACGCAGTTGGAGATGATGCAGTCGGCAATGCCGGACTCGAGGGGGATGGAGGTGATGGAGCCCTTGATGAAGGAGACTTGAGAGTCCGGGAAGCCGCGCTTGCTCTTGAGGGCGTTGGCGCGGGACAACATGTCGTCGTTGAAGTCGATGCCAATGGAGCGACCAGTGGGACCGACGCGGTGGGCGGCGAGGAAGACATCGAAGCCGGCGCCGGAGCCGAGGTCGATTACTGTTTCGCCCTGGCTGTTGTTAGTTTGGAGATTCAAGGTAGAAATTGGGGAGATGAAAGGGACAACGTACCTCACGCAGACTGGTGATGGCCAAGGGGTTACCGCAGCTCAGACCGAGGTTGGCGCCTTCGGGAATGTTGGCGAGCTCTTCTTCGGTGTAGCCAAAGGACTTGGCGACGGTTTCGCCATACTTGACGCTGGTGGTCTGAGAGGCGGCACTGTAGTGCTTGGCGACCTCTTCGTAGATCTGGGAAGTGTCTCTGGTATCCATTGTGGAAGGTGTTGTGGATGAAGTTAAAGGTGGGGTTTTGGAGGTTGTTCTCAAGGATTGAGATTGTAAGTGCAGTGAAGAAGTTGATGTTGGGAGACTTTTACAATCTTCTCATTCCAAGGTGCCAGCACCCCCTTTTATACCCATTATTGCGATACCCCATTCAATCTGTCCTCTTCCATGATCATCTGTGCCCGTTGAGGGTTTTGTGCCGTGACTATCTTGTCGTGTCATGAATCGGGGAACGTCGTGGTGGTGGTTTCCGTATTTGGTCTAGTGGGTTTTCATGCGGAGTGGATGGAGCCTTCCAAGCGAGTCGTTCTCGAAGAAAATGACCACTCAAAAGCCGGAACCATGCACCAAAGCCGGGATCGTTGTATGAGAACTACTTTGACCAATGAGCATTCGCTCTTGCTTCCTCAAACTGGCAAATTTTCAGTTTGTCATCGGTGGTTCTCTTCAGACTCTGGAATTCCGCCTCTTCCCCCAAATCCACTTCTGCAACCAAACGCATCCCAACAATTCAACACGCAAACTTGCCTGGGCTGCAAGAACCCGGCAATAAGCAAGGCAGCTGCAAGAGATTCCAATTACCAAGCACAATTACGATCATTCCTAGGTACCTATCACCTGCCCATTGTCGGGGACTACGTAGGCGGACCTCGTGGAAACAACAACCACCAAGTCGTTGAAGATCCCAACAGCAATGGCGTCCAACGAGTCCTTTAAAGTCCACAAATTCTCTTCGAAACTACCGGAAGCAGAAGCTGCTCGACAGAGAGAGAACCAGCGGCGTCATCGGGCGAGAGTCAAGGGTAAAATTGCCGAGCTGGAAAATTCTCTAGCTGACACTCGGGAAAGGCTCGATGCAGCCCTCAAACACATCCAAGAGGTTGAGGCCGAGAACCAGAGACTCCGTGAAGGCCGGGGGTCCTCTTCAGTCTATACTAGTCCCGAACCCCGGGATGAGTCCCCTGCGGAGCAGCTCCTCTACATGAGCCAGGGAGGGCGTAATGGCTATTACTACTCTCAGCCGTCCCACCAGCACCAGTTCGAAACATATCAGCCACCGCCGCCAAGGCAACTCCAACATCAGCAATACCGAGAGCAACACCGACAGCCGCCCATGGTTAATGGCCTAGACATCCTAGCCAGCATCTCGTCCAGCGAAAGTGCAGTACCGGCCCGTCACAATCACCGCACTTACCACCCCCACGAAATAGACTGTGCTCGAAACCTAGCTTCCCTACCGAGCTACGAGCCCACACCGATAGCCTCGCCCAGAGACATGTCCCCGATTGCCGGACTACTCTCCATGGCTACCGCCTCATCCTCGCATACAAGGCATGCCGCAACCGGCTTCCATTCACCATCCGCCACCACCATCTCGGCCAGCCCCTCTACCGAGTCGCCAAGCCGAGCCTCGGTCTTCGATTTCAATATCCGAGGCGGCCACTTCGACCCTTCTTCGACCTTGAATTCCCAGTCCTCCTTCTCGGTAGAGACAACTCGAACTACGCCGGACAAGATCGGCGAGCTAATTGAATGTCTCGATAACCACAACGAATACGAAGACGACGTGGCTCCTCTACCAGCTCCTCGACCTGGCGAATCCACGATGCCCTGCCGGGACGCTTTCTCCATCGTCAGGAAGATTCAGACGACGAGACCAGATTACTACCACGACGCGGACGGACTTGAGGCAGAAAGCGCTGCGAGGGAGCAATGGAGACAAGGGTTTCGGAGCGAGACTGAGCCTGGTTCAGGATGTAGAGTGCAGACGCAGTTGGTGTATGACTATGTTGATCATATTACCGGGCCTTGAACGACGAACGGCTTCCTTGAGGAACTAGTACTGATAAACAGTTCAATGGGCTGAGCGGGAACATACAATGCAGCAAACGGGGCAACAAAGATGGATCAGGCTGTGTTACTTGGGATCGTTGGCCTCGGAATGATCCAGAAGGTCTGAATTTTTTGTTTATCTTTTTGCATTTGGGTGAGAGAAAACGGCCTGCGCCGGGAACAAACTGGCGAGCCGGCTCATCACAATCAAACCACTGCAGATACAAGTGGAATATGTGTTACCCTATACACCATGGGCCAACGGAATTTAGAATTCGGAGGATGTTGTGGAAACTTCTGCATAATAATCGCAGGCATAAATCAAGAGCAGCCACAGGCAAATAACAAGCATAGGCAGAGATTAGACATAAACAGAATCATTAATCCGTATGTACTTTCCGCTTCGTATCGACTGATCTGTCCGACAATACCAAGCGCTAACCCTGTATTTTACTCAGACGACTTTTTCTGTCGAAGCTGCTCAATCCGGACGGACGCCCCTCGTCAATATCAATACTCCCAGCAATTGACCAATAAGATAAATGCGGGCCGGGGGGCTGCTACCTTCCAGAACTTACAAAGACGACACAAGGCAACCATCGTCATCTCCAATCCCCTGGCAGCCCTTGCAAAAATCCTGACATCATCTCACCGCGTCCATTGCTTTCAGGGTTTTGCGGTAACTTTCTGTTGTCCCGATCGTACCTTGCAGTGTCTCAGTTCCAGAGCTACTTATATCACTCCATCCCACCCTTTATCTCAATACCCTACCTACCTCATCACAACGGCCAACACATCGTCCTAGCCTAATCCGAGAAGACGAGACAAGAACAAAGAACAACAGAGCAACTATTCAGTACAGCATCGTTTCAGCAACACCGTCACCACCCATCAACAACACGGGCATTTTTCAGCAACATCTCTTCAGCAACACCAAGAGCGCTACACAAACCATCACCATCACCATCATAATGCCATCTTCAACAATTCCCATTCCCATTCCCATCCCCATCTCCCCAGCCCCCCAACCTCAAACCCAAGGCCACCACAACAACCCCCTCTCCCACATCTCCTTCGGCGTCCGCTCCTACTCGGCCTCCAAAACCTTTTACAACGCCGTCCTCGCCCCCCTCGGCCTCAACCTCGTCTTTGACAGCGAAGCCTCTTCTCCCAGGACATTCAAAAAGAACCACATCCGCACCTTGGGTTACGGCCCAGACAAAGACAACGAGATAATCAACATCTTCGAGCTCGGTCCTGACACAGTAACCGCGCCGCCGGGGCCGGGGTTCCACGTAGCGCTGAATGCGCCGACGAGACTGGCGGTCGTGGAGTTCCATTCTGCTGCTGTTCAGAATGGCGGGGCGGATAATGGATTACCCGGTGTGAGGGAGGAGTATGGCAGGGATTACTTTGCGGCGTTTGTGGTTGATCCTGATGGACATCGGTTGGAGGTTGTTTGTAAGAGGAGGATTGCGGTGTGACGAACCGTTACAAGCACAGGAGTATCATCGCTCGGATATAACAATAGAGTAACGGAGTAGTAGCCGAAAGGTACTGGTAGATTGTGAAGCTATTGCTTGCTGAAGATCTGGTAACAAGAGGCCTGGGGAGGCCTTCTTTTATACCGGCCTTCCTGGACCCGATATACTGGACCCGTGGACCCGATCCTTCGTCTCGGGTCCTACCTGATTGGTCATTTAGTCTAGCCTACATAGGATTCTCTGATTGGATCGTAACATGCGGATTCTGATGGTGAGGAGGAGGAGGAGGAGGAGGGGGAGGGTGTCGCTGGGGAAATTCCGGGGAGAGAAACTGAGACACCTAGGAACTGAGACTGAATAGGCGGTATTTTATGTCGTTCTTGCTATCGGTCCTTGCTTGCTTCGTTATCCTGATCTCAAGTTTGTGCAAAGACCCGATAGGCCGGGCCTCCTGCACTGGGGGCCATCGCCGTCTTCGAAACACCTCGTACTGGTCCACTAGCTCTCACCCCGGATCCTGTCCCTTTTAAGTTGATAACCAATCCCCCTCCCCCATTAAACCATCCGATATCCCATCTCTTCATCATCCAAAAACCAACGCAACTCCCAGCACTATCGCCGACACCATCATCCACGCTGGTTCCAGTCTTCTTCCACCCCCATTAACCTTCCTATCAACCATCTCCCCAAACCCTCCCACCACATTCCCCCTAGGCCAATACTCACAAACCAAATACCACCCTCCCTGTCCCTCATTCCACGCACCGCACCACCTCGCAGCGCACCCCACATCCGTAGTATTCTTCCACACAAGCTGCGTGAAATGCCCTGTCTCCTCTCCGAACTTTGCTGCGGAAAAATCATATTTGGAGCGTTCGTTGCCCCACATTTCTACACAGGAGGAAGCGGAGGAGCAACCCAGGGCGAGGTTCTCGCCGTAGGGGCCGTTGGAGTGGATGAGTTCGCATTTGGGGGGTTTGGTGGTGGTGGTTGAGGAGGAGGCGGAGGACTTGGATGAGGAAGAGGAAGAAGAAGAAGGGGGATTCTCGGGTAGGCCAAGTTTCTCGAGATAAGAAGAGGCGAATGAAGCTAGGGTGTCGTTGTACACGACTGAAGAGGCGTTGTGTTGGGCACGGTAAAAGTTTGTGGAATTGAGAAGGGCGGAGGTGAAGAGGTTGGGTTCGAGGAAGGAGGGGGCGGAGATGGCTGGGGTGTCGCTGGGGGTTGCCGTGATGGTTAACGTCGAGACGGGTTCTTTGGCATGTTGGAGTTCGGCGGGGGGTGTTGGTTTCGGCTGGTAATCTTGATTCGGATCGGGATGGTGGCGGATTTGGATTTTGACTTCCACTTGGGGAAGAATGTTCCCTGAGGGTTGGGGTGTTGCGTTGACTATTAAGACAACATGATTGAGGGTTATGACTGCGAAAAAAGAAGCTATTATCGTCGTCGTCGTCGTCGACAGGCTGTTACGGTTACGGTTATTGAAGCGCATGATGGTCGGTTGTTAGGTTGTTATCATTATCGTGGCCCCTTTACCGTAGCCAATGTTTCTATCGTCCGAGAACGAGAAGGATGAAAAAAGGAAAATCTTCAAGCTCGTCATCTTGTCTTGTTTCCTTCTGCCTGTATATCAATTGGTTTTTTGTACATATGTCACGGATGTCATCCTTTCGCTTTACACATCTAAATGCTTGTGTCCAAGGAAAAGTCACCTATCAAAAACTTGGTTTGAAATGGAGGTGGTCGAACAAAGATGGTTGGCCGGCGCTCCTTCGTTGCTCTCATCTTGGTGGTTCAGTTCCATAGACGCTGGGGAAGGGTTGATTGGGCGATGACGTAGCGGTTACAGTGGGCGTTTAAAACGACATGCCCCTGTGGATGTTGCAGGGGCACAGGGGCACAGGGGGCGCTTTCCGTTCTGGGGACGTTTAGCGGATCTTGATGGGGCAGGCCCGAAACGGTCATTTTGCATTGTTCTTACCTCTAACACATTGATGGAGGACATTACGGATTTGAAAATCACACTTGCTTAAGGAATTAGGGGAACTTCGGTGACAGATTACTAGCATAATATCATTTTGAGAACGTACTTTGTCTTATATCTAGACCTTCCAATGCTACCAGTCCCGATGAGTGTCCCATCATGCAAGTTAGGGTCGTACAGAGCTATGAAGTACCGGTATCCCGAACCTCGGAATTTCCTCAAACCTCATCGCAAAATTCTATCAGTCCACAACAAACTCCTTTGCGGAGCGGAATCGTTCCGAATCAAACACTTATCAAATCTATATCAATCTACAGAAAGACAACTGTCAGCACCCTATTCAATTTGTTCTTATTGTCACTAAAATCCTTGCTGACTCACCTTACACTGGTCTCAGCACCTGCACCTTCTGTCTAAAAACTAGTTCCTCTTCGCGCGCTTGGTGGTACGGTTGTTGGAGTAGTCTGTGTCGCGGTCCTGAAGCACGTTTTTGTTCTCGTTTTCGTTATCCTCAGAAAACTCCTCGTGTGATCTCTTCTTCCTCAAAGGGCCCTGGGCCTGGGTCTTGTGGAAGTTGTCTTCATAAGAAGAGTTGGTGTTGTTGTTAAACGGAACATTCTCTTTGCTTGTGCTTGTTGTGCTTGTTGTGGGGCTTGTTACGGTCTTGGTCGTCGTCGAAGATCCAGCAGCCGGAGTGATGTCCATGTCGGCGACCGGGGCAATCTGGGCAATCATATTGGTCATCGGGGCGGGTCCAGGAATGTTGTTGTTGGAGGCAGAGCTAACAGCAGAATCCGCGCTCGCCCTCCTAGAAGAACCAGACATGGCAGCGGCCTTCTCCTTGGCAGCAATGGCGGCCTCCCTCCTCGCTGCATGAAGCGCCAGTTTCTCCTTCGCCGTCAGGGGCTTCCTAACAAGTGGTGGCAGGGTTGGAGAGCGGCTCCTGGATCTAGGAGATGATGATGGCTCACGGGTTGGTGATTTTGCGCGGTCTCTGGAAGAAGAAGAGCTTGCACTTGTGCGACGTGAACCGGCAGGGGCCTCCTCTGTGTCGTCGGTATTGGGAGAGGCAGAACCAGAATCGGAGGCCCTCCTGGCAGCGTAGTGCGCCATTTGCTCCTTGAGAGTAAGGGCTTTCTTTTTGGGAGCTAGCGAAGCAATGTCCGAGTCGTCAATCTTGGAAGATGACTCGGGAGAAGTGGAAGACCTTGGGCCCCAGATTTGCGCATGCTGACCGGGCTCTCCGACAATGACAGCCGCTTTCAGGTGGGATGCCTTTTCTGTTGCCTCGTGGATTTTGAGCTGGGTCTTGAGAGTGGGCGCTTTGTTCTTGACGACTGGCGCCGCAGTGGTAGAGTGGTGGTCGGAAGATTGCTTGGCAGTAGGGCGGTTTTTGGAAGGAGACTTGTTGGAGGAAACGCGGCGGATATTCTCCTTCTGCGCAATGCCCGAGTCGCTCTTGGGCACAGAAGACTTGTCGGCACTAGAGTGGTTTTTGGAAGATCTGGAGGACATGGAAGAGGAGGGCCGAACATTCTCCTTCATGGCAGTAAAGGTAGTGGTGGTCTTGGGAGCAGCAACCTCGAGAATAACATCGGCAATGACCTTCCCTTTCGCGGCATAAGCAGTCCGTTGCTCCTTCAATGTAAGCGGCTTCTTCTTGACGTCGGCCGGCGGCGAAGTAGTGGATTTGGACTCGAGTTTGGCTTTGACATAGCCATTGAGAAATGAAGTATGCTTTTGCCAAGTCCTCGCCCATTCACCGGGCTTCCCGACAATGACGGCCGCCTTCAAGTGGGACGCCTTTTCTGTCATCTCGTAGGTTTCACGCTTCTCCTTGATAGTAGGCTTCTTGTTGGAAGCTGGACGGAAGATGGTAGAGTTGCTCTTGGTTGTTGACTTCAAGCGGTTGGTAGTGGGCTTTGTGGCCACTTTGTTGGAGGAAGGGTTGCGAGTGTTGGACTTGGGTGCTGTCGATGTAGAGATAGTTGAACGGTTGAGGGCGGGTTTCGAGGTCTTGGGGACAGGCACCTTCACTGTTCTGATGGAAGGCTCGGTGTTGTTGCCAGCTGCCTTCGCTTTGGCGGTATAAAGTGCGCGCTGCTCCTTCAGGGTGAGGGCCTTCTTGGGCTTCTTGGCTAGTGAGGCAATGGTAGGCGAGCGTGCGGAAGATTGCGCAAGAGTACGGATGCTCATTTCGGCGAGGGGTGCTTTACGAGGAGCCGGAGCTTGTTGGTTGTCTGAAGCCATGGGGGCGATTTCAGCAGGAGCTATGACTGTGTGATATGTCTGTTGGCGGGTTGGGAAGTGGTAGAGTTTAGTTTGAAAAGGTTAGCGGCAGTCATCTCGGAAGTTTTGTCGGTGGGCTTAGACTTACCATAGCTTGAAGCCCTAGATGCTGATGAAGTATGCTTTGCGAGGAAGCTCGAGGAGAAATTGATGTCGACTGTCGATGTCGCAGCTTTGATCCTGGATGAAGGCCTTGTTGGGATGATATGAGTCGCAGACTATTTTGGGGAAGCTTTCTTGGTCGAGGTACTTGTCGAAAGTAGTGGTGGGTTTGTGTTGTCGAGGATGTTGTCGAGTTTGTCTTTGTTGTGCGATTTGTCTTGGTCAAGAGGGTGTCTTGTCGAGAGAATTTGACGAAGTGTCGGTTGTAGATGGTTGGATTGGGGAGGAAGATTTGAGGTTGAAGATCGAAGTCGACGATGCTACTTATATTCAAATTATTTTTCACGGTTCGCCTGTGTTCTGGCGAATGTTGACAGGTTTGTGGTGTCCAGTCTTACTGTTCGGCGCTGAACAGCACACTTGTGAATAGAATTATGGTGGAGAGCAATCTGGGCGAACTGCCATCTGCTTCTTGTATTCTGCTGAACAGTAACCTTGAATAGGATTCTGGTGGATAGCATCCAGGTCCTCATGTCCTGGTAAGCTGCGTTCTGAACAATAGCAGCAACCTTGGTGAACAGCATTCTGGTGAATGTGATCCAAGTGAATTGCATCCAGGCTACTTTCATCCGGTCTCCTTCTCTTGGCAGGACGATCGCTGCTGGTCGCCCTCGTATTGTCCTTCTGTTCAGAATAGTCATTGGCAACGGTTCTCATCGTCTGATCTTTTTTCTCCTGCCAGTCGCCTTGAGGGTACTCTAGTGGCAGGTGCCATCATCGATATACCAAACCCTGATGTGTTGTGACTTGCGACATGTGTGCCGCTCGTTGTTTTCGTTTCCGACCCATCGCTCAGGACCCCCTTTTCCCCCTTGTGAAAGAACAAGCATCACCGTCCGAGCAAGACCACTGTCATGGGTGCATCATAGCTATAAGCCAAGGTCGCGAATTTGCTCTCTATCCACCACGAGAGCAGGACGACAGTGATTCAGTACCAACAGCAATCCCCTGCCGAGCCTGTCGACTGCCTAACCACTCTTGCCCTCTGGAAAATACTTGACAGTGGGTTGCAGGGAGAAGTTACACTTTCCAGGCCTAGCTTTGGCGAGCTTCTTCCACGTAAGGGGCGTCGGTAGTTCTTGAAAGACATTCTACTCGGCACGTCTCCAGGATGGGATTCAGTACCTAGTGACATGTAGAAAGGCATCTTATAATTCAGCCGCTGTCATCAAGGACTTTGGTCGCCGCCCGTAGAGGTAGTTTGTCATCTTCTTTTCGGATATTTGTCTTGTGCCGGCCCACGCTGAGCCTAGGAGCTAGGAAGGCCCCGAAGACGGACGGTTCAGTTGCGCTGCCACAAAGGACACGACCAAATACATTGCTGAAGAATTCTTCATGTCCTCCCTCACTGATGCGCCCGCTGCCTACTGAATGCTAAGATACTCCATGATATCACAGCCATCCGTGAAAGATCAAGCACATCTGGACGGGCGACCGCGACCAACTTGATTACCGCAATTATTGACCCTTCGACACTCACATATTTATCTTTAACATCCCGGAATCCCAATTCCATTTTTTTCCCGTCATCATCGGCAAATAAGGCCATTCAAACAAAACTGTCCAACTGTCCAGTGAACAACATCTTGGTTTAATTCACCATGGACGTCCACTTATCATCGGATGTAATCTGATAACTGACCTGCTCGTATTACTCGCTGGGTACACCGCATAATCCCTTCTCCTTCAAAGGGTTCGTCGTCGTCGTCGTCCCGATCTTTCAGTTAGCATTGACAATTTGACCGGATCTTCAACATCATCAAACTCACCCTTGTCCAAGATCCAAGGAATCAAGGATACCTGTAACTAACATCTGCAATATCAGCAACAGTGTCGTTAGCGTCATTCAAAATTGCCATCCAAAATCCCCATCCCATCCCATAATATCCATAATCTCAAAAAATAAAAAAAAATAAAAAAATAAGCTAAGTCGCCCAAATCCCGAGTCGAACTCGACCTTAAGACCAGCTGCGAACCTTACGAGAACTGTACCTCCCGTCGGGAAATACCAAACGCACCCGGCAACGTTTTCATCAACGGCCCGGACATGGAACCGCTATGCCATATAGACACAGTCTTCTTTGGGTCATGTCCCCGTTGTGGCAGAGGGGTACGGTAAGGGTCCTTATATGCCCTGGTCGCCTGTGTGTTAGGTTGTAGCACAACTGAGGCTTCCAGTGGAGTTGGGTTGGTAGGCCGGAAGGTGGGAAGGGTCGGGTGGTCCCGTCTCCCGTCGTCATTTGATATTTGGGAAAGGGGACGGGAGGGGTTGGCCAGTTAAAGGGCCGGCGGTGGCAGGAACGGTGGCAGGAACGGTAGTAGGCAGGTATGTACCTTTTACCAGCGCAATTGTAGAAGTACTACGCAGTCGGGCTCTTGTCTTCACACCGGGTAACTGGACTCGCGGTCTTTCATGCTGCACTGCATCATCCTCACTGTCACGCCCACCCCGGTAATTCGGCTGCATTTACATGATTGCCATCATCACCAGTACCAGACACGGCGTCCATCTCGTCCACATTCGTTTCCCTCCTTTTTTTTTTTTTTTTTTTTTTCTCCTAACGCCAGACTCCGCAGCCGTCTCTCGGTAGTACCTGGTCAATCGCGTTAACGTTTTGCCTACCTCATTGCCGAGGATCTCACCGCTTGAGTTCCATTTCCCCCTCCTGGTACTTCATTGACCCGTCGATTGTCTGACGCCAGTCTTGCTTACCCTACCCTCCTCAGTCCCGTCATCTTTCCCGTCGTCCCATGCCTGAAGATTCAATAGTCATCCTGCTCCACAGAGGGTGTCACGTCCATCTCCCAGTCCTCGGCGTTCTCACCCTCGAGACCCTCCAAACCCATGTCCTCGACGTGTTTGGTGATGTCGCCGTCAACCCTGTCGTCATCCTTCTGATTCTCCTTGTGATAATCAGCATCGGAGTCCGCATGGGCGATAACCTTCCTCGGTCTGCCAGGTCCGCGCTTGGGCTTCGCGGGCTGAAACTCATCATGCTCCTCAGGCTCAATAATGATCTTCCTCGGTCTGCCAGGTCTGCGCTTGGGCTGCACAGAGGCAGGCTCAGGAGTGGGCTCAGGAGTAGCCTCAGGGGTAGACATGCGGGTAGGCTTAAGGATAAGCTTGCTGGTAGGCTCTTCAGGGGCACGAATCTGAAAGGTCAAGGCAATATCGGGGTTGAGTCTGTACTTGAACCTGTTGGTAGTTTTTGTCATCCAGAGCAACCATTCCTGGGGCACGCCTGCAGGTTGAAGAAACAATTATTAGCAGTTGTTCACTGGGATCATATTTTCGCAACAATAATGACAATGAAAACCGTTCACTTACTTAGTCTCATGGAGTCATTGGGGAAATCCTAGTTCTCCTCTGTAACTGCCTCTGTGACCTCGTCGGGGATAATGCTAAGGACCTCCATGTACTTGCGGTCGACCCAAATGTAGCCCTTAATTTGAAAACGCCAGGTTCCTGGGGCAGGAAGTCCAAAACCGTACATGTCCATGACCAGATAAACCCTGTCATCTGGTCTGTACTTTGGTGAAATGCCAAATCGGTAGCGTTCGACTTCGTGCTTGGTAATGTGGACATCGCGGTCAGTTGTCACCGCGGTCACCTCAAGTTTGAGCTCTTGGTCGTGATGGGCGAATTCTCGAGGCAAGAAAATTGCGATGGGAGGAAAGGGAGCGTCAGCCAAAACCCGCTCGAGAAAGGGGATCGCAAGGTCAGCATCGCGTGGAATGTTGTAAGGCTGTGATCGGTCCGACATGGCGAAAAAGAATTGTTGATGATTGCCCTTAACGGTGGTGTGAAAGTGACGGTGTTTGTCGGGGATCGATGGAGTATGAGGGAAGAGTTGTGGCTAGATTGAGAACGAGATACCCTGTTAAATAAGCGCGACTCGTGGCAGTTTCGCGACAGGTGAACGCGACCCTGGAGGCCCAGATTCGGCAACTGAAGGTTCAAGTGACATTTGAACAGGTGAAGACATCCAAACTTCAATCTGTTTGAAACCTTGAGCGAAGATGGCAGGTGAAGAGAGGTTGAAGTCCAGCTTCTAGCCCAGGTTCCAGATTCACTTCACCTAGACGACACACTGCCGAGGTATGGTATTCCTTGGAGTGCATGGTCGCTTTTGGATGGTCCAGACAAGTTGCTCATTGGTTGCTCTCGGTTGCTTCAAGGCTATTCCTGCGGCTGTCCTTGGTCTTCGGTTCTCATCATCGAAGGTAAGCCACAGGACTTTGGTGGTGGTATTGATCACTACAGGTGCCATCGATTTAGCGTCATCCCATTAAAAAGTGTGTGATTCGAGTACGTAGAGTTGTTCTCATTGAATCACCATGCCTGGAGGAGACTCCTGAGTGGATACACAGCTAATCCTTCACACAAGTATTGAAACCTAGAAGACTGTATGGAGCCCCATGGAGTAAGAAGATGCCTGCGGAAGACATATGGAAAGTAAGCCTGAAGAGTTTGTGGGGTAATATGTTCCGAAGAATGGCGGGCGACGATGGGTTTATAATGACATACAAAGGATCCGTAAGAGCGCGAATTTCCTGACAAGACCACTCTTTGTTCTTAGTTGTTGGATGGACGTATCGATCTGGTAGAGATGAGTACACAATGCCCAAACTGTGGAACATTTCTGGTTGGAAAGTGATGTTCGAGGGTCAAAACGATCCCTAGGCTCCAAAACAAGGACCTTCATATAATGATCGGATGTTTTTATGTTAGAAAGTTCAAGGTCTTGCCGCTAAGTATGTAATTGTGGCATCCTATTGGCGTGTCGTTGATCTGTGCTCCTGCCTCGATATCTCATACCAGTACAGGTACTGGGTATGGAACTAAGCTCGAGCACTCTGACACTGCACGTCGATTCCCGCCTTCCTGCAGGATGACCACATCCACCGTCCCCCGACCCTCTTCCCACATCAATTCTTTCCATTCTCCGGGTATTTGTCCACGAGATGCCCATCGTCTCTTCTAATACTACTTATCGTATTCGTCGGCCATTCTCTATTAGGCGTGTAAAAGTCCAGGACCTTGGACGCGGTTGCCGACTTGACTTGACCACGCAAATGAAGGCTCTGAAGAGGAACCACGATGGATAAAGACCCGTATTTCTCGCGGAGCTTTCTTGCTCGGCCGTCAAAGGGGTCTCTAAACATTGAGCCTAGTCAAACAACGACTATTCAAGCCCCCGAAAATCATGTCCAGGAACTCCAGAGGCATGATGATCATGACACCAAATCTGTCCCAGTGAAGGCTGCCATCCGTACGCAGCGCGATCACGAGAGATTGCAAGCATGCTTGAAGCCCCCCGACATGGCAGATGATGCACAGTCCGCGTCTGAAGCACATTCAAGAGGGGTTGAGAACACAACAACCAGCAACACAACAGCAGCTCGGAACCCCTTCAAGCTACCAGGAATTAGCAAGCCATCTTTGCTCCAATCCCAACCAGCCCAGACGGCAACTCCGCAAGCAAAGGCCAACGACAGCATCAACAAGGACGTAGAGACAAAGGAAACCACTTCCACGTCTGGCCAACCTGGCGCCTCCGCTCGTCCTCGCAAGTCGCTACCTGGAACTTCCAAGATCCTTCGAATCCAGTCAGCAAAAGAAAACAGCGCTTTGCTTCCGAGGCCAATCCTCAACAATACCAAGAAAACATATCTGCCCTCAAGCATTTCCAGCTCCATCAAGGTCCCTAAGAGGTCGCTCTTTGCACCCCCTAAGAAGGCTTACCAACAGAACAAGCTTTCAAAGCCTTTGCCGTCATCAAGTACGACTGCCTCGCGGCCAAAGCAATCAACTGGCTCGAATGTCCCAAAGGTTTATTTTAAGGGTAACGGTTCGTATTATACCCGGTTCGACCCAGCATCCTTGGGCATAAGAAAGCATTCCAACAGCCCTACAATGGACAAAATAAAGAGCACAGGAATCAAGATCCGCTTGGCTTCGGGTAAAGATAACTTGAAGTCGTCATCCAAACTGTCTCGGCCCGTCCTTGAGGTTCCTGTTCTCCCTTCTATGGCCTCTCGTCAGGAAACTCAGCCAACCCACTCTGGAAGTCACGAATATGCCAGCCATTGGGACCAGCCTCGCAACCAACAGAAGGGAACTGAGCCCGAGCTGTTATCGCTTGCCCAACAAACGGTAGAGGATGACACATCATCAAGAGACTCGAAGCTGTCTGACGTCGAGAGTGTTGATTCTCGGTCTTTTGGCTCCAACGACACCGCGAGTGCGCCAGGGCAATCACCTATACTTGTTATTGCCGATAGTGACGACGAGGACGACGAGGACGACGAGGACGACGAGGACGACGATCGGATTCTCTACAATTCTGGGAAAGACGGCGATGACAACGACGACGACGATCAGATTCTTTACGGTTCCGCAAAATATGACAATGGTCGGACTGTTCTCAGATCTCAAAAGGACGATTTTTGGCCGGAACGACAATGCTCATGCGGAAAAGCCTGACAACAATACATCCGCTACCGGTAAACCCGGTCTTTATACTAAACATACTAAAGACTCGGCCCTTGATGATGCTGCCTACAAATATTGCAAAGGTAACGCTCCTGTTAACCCCAATGAGGCTTCACATGAGGCCGGCTAACAAATGCAACAGATCAGTTTGGCAACATCATCAAGACAGAAGGTGCACTAGTACCCGTCGGATATCAACTCTTTGATGGTGATTTTCCTTGGATATGTCCTGTCCGATCGTGCAGAACACTGCATCCAAAGATCAAAGCTTTGGGGAACCACTTTAGCGTGCGTTGTTCCGTCTCCTGTTTTTCGCTGGATCTTAGGTTGCCACTATACAGGCAAAGACCGATTGATTTGCTAACTTTCTTTTTGACTTGTAGCATGGACACAAAGGATCCTGTTTTAACGATAACCTAGATGGTACCTTGACATTCTTAGGGGTGTATACCAAACAGACGAGTAAACAGCCTCCAATCATCGTGAGCAAGAAAGCCATGAGCCTTGATGACTCGCCAATGCTCGAGCCGTCACATACAGTGGCGAACCATTACAAGTACAGGGCCGGATTTCCCGAGAAATCGTTGAATGAGCACGTGCCGAGACGTGAGGGGCAGACCAAGGAGGTAGCATCTATCCAGGCTACTATCGCTGTTCGAGGACCTCCGCTATCAAAACCAGACAAAATCTTGACCATGGCTGAACCAGATCGGCCTTATGATATGTGGCCCGGTATGTGTATTCCTGTGCTGAGTATTGTCGTTCAGCTCAATGAACGAACAGCACACTAATGCTGTCATAGGTCCGACAGGGAAGCTTGAACAGCTTCATGGTGGCCTGATCCCATCTGAATGGACTCCGTACTACGAGTACCCAATCCGCCAGTGGATATGTCCAATTCGGTCATGCCAGTGCTTGACGAAGAACCAGTATCACTTCGGCCGCCACTGGTTGGTTAGTATCTCCACACTCGCTCAATCGGAGAGGACTTGGACTAACAAGTTTTGTAGACTCACCGGGGCTGTCACCTGAATGACAACCTTGATGGGACATTTACCATTCTACGTAGCCCATCCCAAGCTCAGCTAGATGATAAGGAGTATACCAACACACCTTCGGTCGTCGTCGCACGCGAGCCATTAGATAATGAACCTATCCGACCGCCACAGATCAGAATCAAAGATCCATCAGGTACCCAGCCTATTTGGGTCAGTCTCAGTTCCTATCTGGAATCAATCAAAAGAGGTCGTGCGAAAGACATCAAAGCAATAACCCACACTACAGTCCCCACGAAGATTAGGATTGTACAACCAGGACCGAAGGAAACCCCATTCAAGCCACTCACGGAGGCTCACTTTGACGAGGAACTCATCATGGCAACGAATGATCGGAAATACTCTGTTTGGTGGGGTAAGTATTCCTCCTAGTATACTCGGTCGCTTTCTATTAAAAGTTAACGCGGTCTTTTCATTGACAGATCCGGATCACGGTCTCAAGGACACACGTGGTGCTCTGATCCCAGAGGGGTATGAGTTGGATGAAACGTGGCCTGGTCGACCGTGGGTCTGTCCTATCCGCTCATGTCGAGTGGTTTGCAAGAACATTTGGAGTTTAGGATGGCACTTTGTAAGTTGAACATGGTCTATGTTCTTTCATTATTTTAGGCAATCAACTCACCCTGAGCCACTCTAGTCAAAGCTACATGCGTCTGCTAGCCTCAATGACAACAGGGATGGTACGTTCTCCATTGTTGGTACGCACCAACTTGGAGCACCCCGTGTTGTATCGAAGCGCCGTGTCAGTCTTCATAAGGATCCAACCGTTGAAACATGCCTTCCCTCGCTGAAAAAAGCAGAGATCGAAGAGGAAGAGAGGAAAAGGCGCCAGATGGGAGCTTCCATGGTCAAACACACCACCCACAAACCTGCTGCGGACCCAGAAGGACTTTGGAAGTACATATGCAGCATGGTTGACGACGATCTCGCAAGGCCAACCCATCCAAGCTTTGACCATCTCCTGGCCCTCCCTCGAATTCGGGATTTGAATATCATCGACAAAAGGCTGAACCCGAAGCACTTGATTCACTCAACGCTGACGGTGGGTTTGGTTATTCAAGTAACAGGAGTGGAAAGGCAGACAAAGCAATGCACAGCCTGCCGCCGCGGAGACGGTCCGTTTCAGGAATGCGTCAGCATCTGTCCGGAACTTGCCAATGAGGTAGCCCAGTCAAATCCGCCATTGGCGACATCGCCAAGCAATCGCTGGTGTTGTATGAACTGCGTAGTCAATAGGCAAACCTCACAGTGCAGTCTCAAGGCTTCTATGCTGGAACGGTCAGAAGATGGCAGTGTGAAAGAACGCATACCGCACTGGATGGTGGATTCAGAACAACGACCTCCTGCAGGCATGACCAAGAAGCTGAAAGAAGCCAGTCAGGATACTGTATCTGTCGACGATGAAACCAACTCGAGCTATCGGCGGTCTGGGCGTCTAAGGCCTCAGTTTGAGACTAAGCCTTCCTCGGCATCACCGAAACGGTCTTTTGAGTCAATGGACATGGCATTTTCTCAGGTCGCTGCAGCAGCCTCACAGGAAGAGGAAGCCAGCAGCTCTTTGCGAGCATCTAAACGTGTTCGGGGGATGCAATCTCCAGCGACCGTTCTAACTAGTTCAATCCAAGATTCGTTGATGGTAGAAGACTGGGAGATGGAAGCAAAGGTTATCCCCAGAGGAAATGGCTCTTCTGACAGTAAGTACCTCCAACGACCCTTACCCGTAAATCATTTTCTTCTGCCCATTGCCCCCTTCCTTCCCTCCTTCCCTTTTCTTTCCAAGGTACCTACTAATCCCCTACTTTCCCCTCCACCAACAGACCTCGCCTTATCCTCCTCCTACCAACAAAACTCCTCAGCCTCCTACTCCACCCAAATCATCCCCTCCTCTTTCCCATCCCTCTCCATGTACGTCATCAGAATCCCCTCGGGAAGCTCCCACTGCCTTGGAGGCGCCACTACATCAAACGAGTCACAGCATCAGAATCGTATGTGCACGGTCATTTCCGGCAAGTTACGCGTCAAAATCCAAGCAGTGGACGACGAAACAGACAATGCCGAGTTCAATATCGGATTACTTGGCGTGTTCAAGCTGGTGGTGGGGATGGAAGCGAAGGTTGAGAATCGGGGGTATATTGATGCTGTGCTGCAGGTTGTTGGTACCTACTAAGGGGGAATAACTATGTTTTGAGTGAAGGGGTATTGGATGGAGGGACGGCTGGTTTGGACAGTGAGTGAGGTCTTGAGCTGAGTATGATATGACCATGGATGGATAAATGGTCAAATATTTGAGTTGGGTTATGGGTACAATGACTTTGAATGGTCTTGATTAGGTACTTCACGCGGTTCGAATTAGGGTCTTTGAGTCAAGATGTTGGAGGAATTCTTGACGATTACATCGGTCATGGGGGCCGTGTTTGATGGATACACTTCTTTTGGGCGGATTCACAAGTTTTGTTTGGGGGTTTGCTTGGATGAGTCGACCACAACGGCAGAAATATGAGGGGCTAAGAAATGAGCAACACCACCATCCATGCTTATACGCAAGGAAATGAGACTGCAAAACAAGAAGTATAGTATTGAGTATTGGCTAAAGGTAGCCTTAGTTGGGTCAGTACACTAAAATGTAGGATGATGCTTCTAACAGATAGAAGCAGGAGTTGTATTGCGGTGTTTAGGTTGTAGTCTCATCTTCTTTTTCTTTTTCACCATGTTCTTTCCTTTTGTCTTTTTTCCTTCCCATTTGTCTTTTTTTCTTTTTTTTTTGCACTAAGGACAGTAAGCGCTATTGTTCCCGGTACTGTGCCTTCTTCTGACAAAGATGGTGTTAGCTGATTGGATGGATTGAACCTGGCTTGCTCAGTGAATGAGCATCAACGTAAACGTGAACACTGCTCTTGAATCACTTGATCCACAGGTCAAGACCTCTATTACCATGGAAGGTTCTGTCCCTGATAAGCTGCTGTGAGAGAACGATTCACCAAACATCTTATCCCGAAAGGCCTTGTATCTAGATGTTTGTGCCTGCATGGCCGATGTCGTTACGCTACGTTGAGTCTTTTGCCTGGGGCCAAAGGGCGCAAACTGTTTGGGCATTAACAGGACGCCCGTTCGTCAGTCATCAAGTTAGTCATGACTTGGGTTTTGTTCCTTCATTTCATTCATTGAATAGATACATAGGTGGTTCAACGACAAGCCATGGTGATGTTCTCCAGGTAGGTAGGTATAAAGACACTCACTCACTCACTCCTACCTTTGAAGAAACACAATCCCTTTATGGAAATCACTAGAATACACTCCGCCACCAGACCACTGTCAACATCTTCCTTTCTCATCTCATCTACCCACCCATACATCACCTGTCTGTGAGTGCACATAAACATTAACACCATCACCAACACCAACCCAAACCCAATCTTCACCCACATACAGCACAACATGGAAGTGTTCCCAACCTCTTCCTCTCCCCCTCCCCCTTCAAACCCTTCAAACCCTCTCGGCTTCCACCTCCTCCTCGGCCCCATCCTCAACGCCTTCCCCGACCAACGTCTCCCTCCTTTAGTCCTCCAATTTCCTTTGGGGACTACCCTAGACGAAACAACTAATTGCCAGATCGAAGCGGTATGCACTAATCTGCATAACTTTTCTCTTAATGATGATGGCGAGGGCAATCAGAGGGTGAGGTTGGTGAGTTCTATTCATAGTGCACCACAGTCGTCAGGGACAATGGAGACGGGTGCGGGCGCGGGTGCGGGAGTGGGGGGAAGGGTTGCTGGGACGGGAGTTGGGACGGTGGGAAGGGCGGTGATTAGGACTTTGGGGTCAACGGGGTCGATAGGGTCAACTGGAGCAGGGTCGATAGGGTCAAATGGTGTGGCTGGGTCAAATGGTATAGCTGTGGATGTGGGGAGCATGAGGTCGGCTATAAGGGCGGCAAGCGGAGGAGATAGTGGAGAAAATGGTGGAAGTGCTGTTGGGACTGCTGGGGGTGGGAGTGATACTGGGCTTAACAGCCCGAGTAAAAAGTACGCAGTGTTGCAAGGCTTGCGGTTCCCAGCTGTGGGGGACTGGCTGGTTAGACTGAGTGTTTGGAGGCAGGGTGTCAGAGTTGCCGAGGTGGAAGCTGGGTTGGTGACGGTTTTGGAGAGGGAGGTTTGGGAGACGTTGCCTGAGAGGGTGAGGACATTAAGTAAGTTTCGGATATTGCATGTTGGTGATGATATCCTGTGATGTGGTGGTCTTCTGTCGAGATGTGGTAGATACCTCTACCTACCTATGTTCAGGATGTAATGATGCATGCACAATACCTTGACCTACATTAAACCTCGGATAACGTAGTGCTAACAAATTTGGGTGGTATCACTTAGCGGACCACGATAAGGAGTTTCTGAGGTCTATCGGGGTGTGGTGGTCTTTTTAGATCTGTCCGGGTGATTACCTCTGTGGGTTTTCTGGCTGAGTCAGTGTTGGGCGTACCTCTGTCAGAACCTCGGCCTCGTCAATGTCTCAAAAGTATGCTGCGTACTCCCCGCCACAAACGTTACTTACCTTCAGAGAAAGGTCGAATGTGGTGTGGTTGGATCTACACATTTCGGGTGATCAGCCTCTTGCATGTTGGCTTGATCGTACAAGGTAGCCCTGCTCAAAGTCGAAATCTCCGAAATCCTGGACTGGTACCTGCGTCTTTTTTTCTGTAATCAGGATAGATGCGTCCCTTCCTGCAAGACTTTGGGGAGCGAGACACCACTGCATTCACTCACGTTGTGCCGAAGTCGAACCGCACCTCACAAAATCATATGATAGTGGACTGGATGCAGCTCAGATCCAGACAGTCGGCAGGAGGAAGCAGCATGCGAGGAAAGAGTAAAGCCATAATGTACCACCCTGCTGGAGACCAGAGTTCTGCATTTGGGAAGCTGGACTGTGCGCCTGGCAATGAGGGGTATTTAAACCTCCATTGTTTCCTAGCATTTTCCCTTTCAATACTTTCTTCTCCATCAACCACCACCTTGCCCAAAGATCCAGTCCCAACCCCAGCGAGTTGCACATTCCAGTCAGCAGAATTCCCACCGCTAACTTTATTTGCAAGGAGACCAACTCGTCTTGCTAGTCCTTTGGTTACAGGCACAATTTAACACAACACAATAAATCCAAACCAATTGTGTTCTTGTTTGGATACTCCACGACATTCGCCTCTTCACTCCCCAAAACCAGGTTAGCCAGCTAAGCCACTTTTCTATATTTCACCCGTCATCTCTTGTTATCAAGCCCGCTCACTTAACCCACGACAGCCCTCGTCGTCTTCATAGTAACGGCGCCTTTCACTCCCGTTAGTTTGGACCGCCCCATCGACAATTAAATGGGACTATCTCGGCCACCCAATGGCGAGGACGCGACAGTGTCGCCTTTTGCCCCCGGTCCTATTTCGAACGAGATGGACGCTTTTGATAACAAGCAAATGAGCCACTTGCAAACATCAGGGGAAGGGAACGTGGAGTGGATGAAGGGATTGGATTTAACACGCTTGACACCAGACCAGCTTGCTGTTCTCGTAGCGGTGGGAAATCTTCATCTAACATCCTTCGCTCACCACAAATCTTTAAGCCAACAACTGCAAGACATCAAGAGCGCCGTCGAGGTTTCTAAAAAAGGGTCGGGAGAGTCTTTCAGTCAAAAGATTGTCTGCCGCTACCAAAGTTGGCTCCAATCCTGCTATGCAGACCCCCTCCGATCACCATGGAACCCAACATTTGAACAAGCATATGCAGCAAAAGGAACAGGAATTCGCTCAAAGAATGACACCAGAGTCTGCACAGACACGGGAACAAATGGCCCAAAAGCTGAGACTCCAAAATGAATGGATTCAACGGCAGGCGCTGGAGATAGATCACTGGAAAAACCAGGCTCACAATTGGAAACGGGAGGCTTACTTTTGGAAACTGGAGGTTCACATACTGGAAAAACTATACCGTAACTTGAAAACTCAACTTTGCATGCCGTTATAGCCGTCCCAAGTCCAAGAAGCGCAACTCCAAAACCCCCGAGTCCAGCAATACCAAGATCAGCAACTCCAAGCTCAACAACTCTTACCTCAGCAGACCCAGGCCAAAACAATCGATATTCGGGCAATCGAAGCTGAGATTCACAAAATTCAGGCACTCCAAGCTCGGCTTATCCAATCTAAGGCACTCCAAGATCAACAATTCTCAGCAACTCAACATCAAGTCCAGCATCTCCCAGCTCAGCAACTCCAAACTCGGCAACTCCAAACACATGCACTCCAAGATCAGCAACTTTCAGCTATTCAACATAGAGTCCAAAATCCCACAGCTCAGCAACTCTCCGCAAAGCGACCTAAACAACATCCTCCACGGCGACCGGAGTCGCAACCGGTGGCCAATGTGTACCAGCCTATGCCTTTACCACAGGGACTAAACCGAGAAGGGAGCAATTTTGAGGAGCATGGAAGAACTCAAGACGATTTTCAGGAACCACCGAGATCTGTTCCCGCCTCTTCTGACTGGCAGAACGCTTTCGGTCTTGTAAACCAAGGAACTGCACATGAGGCATCTATAGGCGGAACGCCGCCTGGAATGTGGCCTGAAGCGCCGCCTACCAAGAGGGAAGCACCCACAACCCTCAATGGGGGCTACCTGTATGAGACTCTAACGCCGTGCAGGAAGAAGGGAAGACTTGAAGAAGTCAAAGAAGGATTTTGAAAAAAGATCATGTTGAGGCAAATTGTGAGCTGCATTACCGAAGAGGAAGAGGAAAAGACCAGGGCATGGTGGGTGGTACAGTGATGCAGCAAAAGTCTTTGGGCATAGCTCGTTTTCCCATACAAAACTGTCAAAACACTATCGATGAGCTTTCAAGAGAAACCGCCAACACAACATCAAAAGGGCTCTAAAGGTATTCATACTACTATTAGGTTGCCACCCTTCCTTATGTACTCTTCACATTTTTTTCAAATCCGTTCGTTCGTGGTCGGGGCCGGCCTAAATTGGTCGTGCAAAACACAGCTTGGACATTCTTGACGCATTGTTTTGGCAACAACGATTTAAGATTGGATAAAACAGTAAAATATGAAATAAAGCGTCCAAATATGCACCTAGAGCTGCTACTGATTCAAAGAGGCGCTCATCATTTGATTGCTCTTTGTTGTCAGAGGCCCCCCCCTTTTTTTTTTTTTTTTTCTATACACAAGAATTCTTGCGGGGTGACTTGTAGTTGTCGCCGGAACCCGCTCGACGAGAAACACGGCCACATCATTTTTCAACGATACCTACTCCCTGCTACTAAAACAAGGTGGAGGAGCAAAGATCAAGCACATCGAGTGTTCGTTGTTATTGGTAACAAGCTTGGTGCCATCATTCAGCGAAGAGAAGGAAAGCAGTACTACAGCTCACTCAGGACAGAATTGATGACACCAGAGACCGAGTCCTTACCAGAGTAATACGGGAGACTAATAACAACTGACTGATTGATTACCCGAAATACACCAGGACTATATAGACCGACAATGAGCCCTTAAGGTACCACCAGTTGGTAGGGTATCAAATTCCGTAAAGTTCCAGGTTGCTGCCGATTTTCGTGGTGTTCTTCTGGCCGGATTTGGTGTTTTGAGCGGTGGTAGACTTCATTGGCTGTCATCAAATTTTGTCATGGGTGAGCACAGCTAAGTACCTACTTGACACTATCATGGTATGGCGGGTACTTGTTTTGTACGGGAGAAAGCGAATGATGGATGCACTGGAATCTTCTTGATGCTGATGAGGGGTTTGCCGGTAATTATTTAATGAGTGCCTACAAGAGGAAATCCAAGGGAGAAAAGGGGGGCTAAATAATACTCGGTTAGGTAGTGTTTCTTAGGGCTGATTGCGGGTAGATTAAGGAAAAAAGAAGACACGTTTGGACTGTCCCCCTTGGAGCATGCATCGCGATGTGTGCTAGCGTTGATGAAGTCGAATTGAGAGTAATGTAGGATCCACTTGGCTAGGTAAAATCGGATTAGCAAATAGCATAGACGGAACAGACATCACCCTACCACAACCGCGCCTATCGAACTGAAAACAAAGTGCCCATCGCAGTGAAGTTGCCCTTATACAACCTCCAAACAAAAAGTAGACTACAGCCCCCAAAAAATCAATCACATCTCAATCCCCTACAGCATATTATCCTACCAGGCCATCATCCGTCGGTCGTCCTCACTTACCTGTGACATGGAAAGTCTTCTGCGTCCCGTCGTCAACGTTCTATCTGATCTAAAATCAGGCACCACCACCACCACAACCACCACCACCATCTTCTTCTCCCCAGCCAAGCCTGACCATCTCCACCAATCCAACAAAGATACCTGATCAAACACAGTGAAAGCCATGAAAAAATGGTAACCTTAAATCCATCCCCCAAGTAGCAAATTTTCATTGGCCCGACCGAACCCAAACAGACACCGAAGAGCCAGATTAAGCTTTAGGGCTGAAAAAAGCCGAGAAAAGCCACGGCATGAAATTGCTCCGGTTCACGAGTAAGCACGGGTCTTGGCACCCACCTCTAGCACACACTCAGCACACACTTAGCACACCACTAACGCACCCTTAAGACCCCTATCCTAGCTCTTTCCCCAGATAATCCACAGATATTTCGAGGAGAGCCCAGGGCCCTGGCATCCAGTTGCATGCAAGTTGGGGAGGGAGGGGGAAGGATATTGAACGCCACAGGGTATGGGCGCATTGTCCTTTTGTTGACATGTGGCATGGCTAGTGTCCAACCTGCCTAGGTAAGTCCTGTTGGCGCGGTCCTGTAATTTCCCGGACCCTTATGAATGGTGCCTGACACCGGGTGACTGACTTTGGGTGTAAATGTTGCAATGTGAATTGTGGATGATGGGGCACATGGCTTGCTTGGCTGAAGAGACGATTTTTGCTTTCCTAGCGTTTTCTCAGGGGGAGCGACACGTGCAAACAGACCAGACCAGGCTGGAAGTGATCTACATTGCCCAGACCACCGCATTCAAGATGGTGCTTTCTTGGTAAAGACTGGGGATACTGAGGTGGTGTGGCTGGCAGCCTGGATTGATGGTGATGTTAGGTGCAGAACCGTGCAGCTGTTAACCTCTGTTCGGTAAGTAATTCGGACTAGAAGCCTCGAAGATCTAGATGGTGTGGACGGCCCTAGTTGACGTGTAAGTTTCCAGGAGTCACCGAGAACCGTAAGCGGATAGACGCGGTGTGATGTGTGGTGTGTCGTGTCGTGGTGGTAAAGAGGCAGGAGTATAAATAGTTCATCGCGTCTCTCGATTCGCGGTCGTTGTTACACCCTGCCTGGTCGTGAAAATGGTTATATAAGTCTGGTTGGTGTCTTCACTCCCAATTCCCAACCTCGACCCAGCCCTTCGGCGTGAGCTCTCCTTCATCCATCTTATGGACTCCGGCCTTACTACCTCACTACCTCTAGCCAAACCGGACACGATAACCGAGACTAAGCCCAACAGAAAGACGACACAATGCGCATGCAAGCCCTAGCCACCCGCGCCCTCCTAAGCGGCCTCGCCTACGAACGCCTTCCCACCATCCCCGGGACCTCTTCCAACCCTAACCAAGGTCTCATTGCCATTGGAACGGGTAACAACTTGGCAGCGAGCTGTGTTGTAGGAGAGACAACATGCGGAATCGGGTGTATGCCTTTGGCTAGTGTTTGTTGCTCTGGGTATGTGATCGATCCCAGCTGCCACTTTCGACTTGGCAAGCCGAGATGTTTGTGTCAAAAGGGAAATAATGTGGTGTATCGAAGCTGACAGTTAGGTTGCTGGAAACAGAAAAGGATACTGCGACCCAGGTGAATACTGCACCGAGCGAGACACCTGCTGTCCGATCGGCAAGACTTGTTCACCTGGTGGTGGGTGTGATGCTGGGAAAGTACTTTGTGGTAATGGGTGCGTCTTCCCCTTTTCAGTCCTTTCACTCCCCTCCATTGCAAAAGTAAATCAGCTGCAGTACTAACATTTACCTTTCCTTTTCCCAGCTGTATGCCCGCCGGCGCGGTCTGCTGTCCCGACTACGGCTATTGCGATGCCGGCGAAGTATGTACCGACCACGGAACTTGCGCCGTTTCCTCAGGCGGTGGAGGTAGCGGTGGAGGTAGCGGTGGAGGAGGAGGAGGAGGAGGAGGAGGAAGTGGTGGTTCCAGCACCTGCAGTGCCGCAGGAAAGGAACAATGTGATGCAGGCTGGTGCATGCCGCTGGGAAGTGTCTGCTGCGCTACTGGCGAAGGGTGGTATTGCGATGTGAGTACCTTACCTTACCTTACCCATCCATACGTCTCTTCCATCTGTCCCGTCAATCTGTCAATTGTTTTGCTCTGTGTGAAGGGAAGAAGAGAAACTAACGAGATTCGTTGCATCATCCAGGCCGGATACTACTGTACACCAACCGGCTGCTGCAGGAACGGTCGGACATGCAGTAGTTCAGGTGGCGGCGGCGGTGGTGGTGGTGGTTCCGGCAATCCTCCTCCCATCACGACGACGAGTCAAACACAAGCACTGCCGGCGACATCATCTTCTTCGAGTTCTTCCTCTTCTTCAGTCGCGGCCCCACCACCACCAGTGCAGACGGAAAATTCTGTTAGCGATGGTGGCCGTCCGGGAGCGACAATGCCGGTTCGTCCGACGCTCAGTGTCGATGATGGGCTTGATGATGTGACTACACCGTCTAGCACGCCGATGAGCTCAACGACGTCGACTTCTTCAGCTTCGGCGCGGGCGGCGCAATCCACGGGTCTTCCGGCGGGAGATGGTGCCCAGCCAGGAGGAGCCGGTTTGGTATCGGTATCGGTTGGGCTGGTCATGGCTGGCGTTCTGGGGGTTGTTGGCTTTATGCTCCCTATTTTCTGAAGCTTATCTGTTGCGTCGGTCAATATTTTTCTGTTCGAGATGGGTCTGATGATTGATATGGGTCTAATGATTGCCCGGGATGAGAATGAACAAATTTTCTTTGAGGGGAGGGGGGGGTATGGCAACAAGGGCAGGCGATACCAACGAAGATTGTCGGTATTCTTTTGAAAGGGAAATAATTCGTAATGGATGATACCACTTTAAACAATGAAAGAACACGGCGTCCCAAAGCCATGAATGGTGAAAATTGTGTTATGCAAAGATGCTCCCCTCGAACAACATCAAAACTCACTGTCTCCAGAGGTAGGGAATTTGTCCTGCACGGCAAAACCTGCTGCCCCGCTCTGTCCCTACCTCTAGACTATCAACGCCGAGGTAGATGACCTAGATGACCTAGATGACCTAGATGACCTTTAGACAGTTCGGAATCACTTCAGTTTCACCGTTGGCATTGAAACAGCCGGCTTGTATATACGCGCTTTGATTAAAAACCTCAAGATTGAACTGAACAAACATCTACCCAGACAAAAAAACGCACGCAACTGAAGTGCTTTATGTGACCAACCGTCCAACGCCAGTTTGATGAATCTCGCTTTCTTGTTCTCCATCAGAAACCCTCCGTGCTTCCAGTCCACCTATAGCACCGATTCTTTCCCCATTCCAACCTTTATAGCTTCCAAGTTTATAGCAAGTTATAGCAAAGTTATAGCAGCAAGTCTCGGAGCAGAGCAGAGCACCTTCCAACCACCAGTCTCCAAAGCTCTGTCGTCAATGAATGATTTGATGATTCCACCATCCTTTTCCTTCCGTCTTTGTTCCACCAATGAATCTCCATTACCAGAAACTGCACCATCCAATGTAATGCTGGCACAAGTTCTCCAGCTTGGTAGCCTCGATGATCAGCTTGTTAACTTGATCGGTTACGTTGAGCTCCTCGTGAGGCTTGAAGTCGCGACCAGTGAGCTTCTGTTGCACGCGATCCAAGACCTCAAGAGCACGGGCGTTCTGAACTTCCTGTTGCTCTTGCTGGTTGTTGCCATGGCCATTAACCATGCTGCTGCCAGTCGGGTAGATCGCAGACGAGTTGGTGCGGGCACGGGAGCGTCCGGGGTTAGCGGACATTCCCATTCCATGACCATCTGCGCCAGGGGCAGCTTGCGCTGCGAGAAACTCGGTGGGCGCCACGGGAGCGTCAAGGATAGACGGCCTGCGGGCGCGCGGGCCAGGACCTCCGGGCATGGCGACCTCCCGCTCGGCGGTGAAGTTGGGACCAGGCGGGCTGGTGGGATTGGTCAAACGCCAATTGAGCAAAGGATCATGAATGAACTAGTTCGAATGTTGGTAAATGATTTCAATGAAAAAGGAACATAGCGAAGGAAACTTACAGCTTCAAGGACAGCCATGACACTCTCCTTGTTCTCGCGCAACACCCTCATCACATGCTCACAAGTGGTACGGAAACTACCCTCAATGTTACTAACTTCCATAGCATATGTGAGCATGCGAGTCAGTCTGAACGGCACCCGCTCAGGGTACTTCTCGCGCTTCATGGCTACTTCGAAGCAGTCACCGAAATCAATGTGAATGATCTTGCCCGTAATGCGGTCAAGCATCAAGTTGCTAGGATGGCGATCACCCAAGCCAAGGATATAGCCGACCATCGACATGACACCGAGAGAACGTGTGTAGTTGGTTCTCCGATCCAGCCAGGCCTCAGACGACTTGCTCTTCAACCACAGGACACGGTACAGATCTTGCCCAGTGGTATTGTCAAGAGCGTAACCGAAGACCTCAACCTTTTGCATAAGCGTAAGGTTGTCGTAGTCAGGAGCCATCTGCAACATGATACGATGTTCGATGTTGAGGAGAATCTTTCTCGAATCTCTGTACTCCCGAATTAACTGATGGACAGTGTCACTGTTGGGGACCCAGCCGAGAAGACCAGAGTTCTGTGAAAGAGGAATGGCGGGGTATCTCTGGATATTGAGATGTCGCTTGAAGCTTTCGGAGTCGTTGGCCAACAATGTGTTGCAAAGACCAAAGAGCTGCATGACACGCTCATCCTGACGGATATCTTCGTGTCCCTTGAGAAGGAAGGTGTATGTCTTGCCATCGCTACCAACGATATCGAGCTTGCGAGGCCGTTGCTTGGAGCTGATCACGCTGAAGGTGGCGTCAAAGGACATGATTCTAACAACCTCCTGGCCACTGCGGTATGTTCCAGGCACAGCAAGTTCGAGATCCTTGGCGTTCAACAAGTTGGGCGAGCAGTAAGCCAACTCGAGGGAGGTCATCTGTGGAAGTTGACGGGTGATGCGACGGAACACCGTGTAGTAAAGGTCCCATGCCTGGTTAAGGTCATTGGAGTCTTGTGTCTCTTGATATTGACGGCACCAATCCCGAGCTTCGCTCAGGTCACGGCCAAAGGTCTGGGCGAAAGAGATTTCTCTGAGAGTTTGCGGGCCAGCCTCCAGCAACTCGTGAAGCGGCTCGAGAGTGGCAAACATGCCCTCAATGTTGTGGTCGCCGAAGTACAAGCGCGAAGCCTCCTCGAGAGCCTCATGCCACAACTCATGCCATAGCACAGCGACGCGGATAAGCTCACCACTGACGATTTCAGCTTGCTCAACGAGCCGGAGACTGTGTTGACGCATGCTTTCAAGAATTTGGTTGGCCGACCGAACTCTACGCGTGTTGTGCCAAGACTTCCTTGCTACCGTCAACGGATACACCAGCGCCTGGGGATGAGCACGGCCAACATCGGCCAACAACCCATGGACAGACTGCTGGACCCTCTTGTGCGGCTGATTGATCCTGGCAATCAACTGGGGAATAACCTCAAGCCAGGTATCAACGCTGACACGCGTGAAGCCTTCGGTGACGGCGTTATGGACGTCGATATGGCCACCATGAGTGAGCCACAAGGCCAAGAGGCGCAGAGTGTCCTGCAGAGAGCTGCCAGAGGACAATGCAATAGACTCGAAGAATCCGCGAACAGCAGGAACCACATACTGAATGATGTAGTTCTGCTCCCCATTGTTGCGCACATCCACCTCACGGTTCGCTGTCAGGTACTGAACGACTTCAAAGTTGGCCAGGGCCCATGCGTGCCAGGCCTTATACCACTTGTTGTTGTAATGAGTAGCCTTGTAGTAGCAGTCAAGGACCTCAGCGCGGTACCTCTGTTGCCAGTCGTCCTTGTTCAGCGAGACCATCCATTCGCCTTGGCGGAGATAGCACTTGGCAAGCAAGACAGTCTGCTCGAGCCAGTGTTTCTGCGCCTGTGGATGCAGCATCTCTTCGTTGAACTCGGCAAACCCTGGTTGGTTCTGCACCTCCATGCCGTTCTGAGCATGGGTAGCCATATGCATACGCGAGGCTTCAACGCGATGCGCAGTCTCCTGCGTGAACCTCTGCAGGCAGTACAGCGTCTTCTCGGCGACCCTATGCTCCGAATTGCGGAATCCTGGCGACTGTCCAATCTCCCACTGGAACTTCAGAACCGCATACAAGATCGGAGACGCGATCCTGCTCCCAGCGGGGCCCGGATGGCGATCATGCCAGTAAGGAATGACAGAGTCTAACGATGAGTCGGTTCCAATAAGCTGCTTGAGTGACTTTTCAGCGAGTCCCATGCGGCCCGACTTGCGACAAAGGTTGGCGAACTTGGTCCACATATGCATGTTCTCCTGCGGAGTCATGACAAGCGACCTCAAGCGCAGCATGCGTTGCCATACCTCGACATTGCGCTGGCAGCCCTTAAGACGAGTCTCCCAGGTTCTGCGCATGGTAGCCTGCTTTTCTCCGTCGGTTTGCTTGTAGACAATGAGCTCTTCCAGCTCCGCGAGCATTTGAACGCGTACTACAACCTGATAAGCCCGGTTGTAAGACTCGCTAACAAGCGCACTAAGCTCGGTATCTAGTCCTTCGCGGGCTTGCTCAATGCATGCCATAGCCTCCCTAAACTGATTGCGGTGAAGGGCGAGAATCGCACCAAAGAAGGCTCTGTCTGGGGAGAAGCGCTTCATTGACTGAAGGTAGCTGTCCATGGAGTCCCACTTGCCGAGACCCCAGGCCGCGGTTGTCGCCAGTGGAGCAATGCGTCTCTGAATCTCAGGTGACGAATTGGCCCAGGTCTTTCCAGCAAGCGTAGCTAGGGAATCCCACTCGCCAAGAGCATGATAACAGCGCATTTTGCCCATCACAATGTCCACGGGTACAGGCTGGTCTTCCGGAATCTCGCGTTCGCGTTGGCAGTAGAAGTTGAGAGCCTCGTCCCAACGCTCGAGCTTCTCGAACCAACTCTCACGCAACTGAATACCCTCCCTGTAGGTCTTAACTTTGCGGAGGATACCGATGGCAGCATCGGATTGCTGGAGCTGGTTATTGATGACAATCAGAGCCTCAACTGCACCACTGTTATGGTCCTGCAAGAACTCAAGCTCCTTGTAGTGAAGAGCCTTTGCGTATGCGTGGCAACGGGCGGCCTCGCGGCCCAAAACTCTAATGTCGATGGGCAGCGCCTTGTCATCGTGCTCCATGAATTCAGCAAGGTTGAGGAGCTGGCCAAGGAGATCCGGTGGTACGTTTTCTGACTTGATCGTATTCTCAATGTTGGTGATCAAATCCTCCTGGAACTGTTCATAAAGCTCGCTCCAGCATGATACGAAAGCCGAGTTGAAGAGCTCACGCGCAAGAGGCTGGTAGTTGCTGGCCAAGCTGGCACAAGCACGCAAGGAGTGATTCGGCGACTCGGTTAGGAGAGTTGTGCTAAACTTCCTGAACCACTCATGCCAATCGTCCTTGGTAGACTTGCCCTTCGTTTCCCACACCTGTTTGAGATGCACCGGATTCAGGGTCAACTTCTTGGGTGGGTTGTTTTCGGCAGCAAAGCCTTCCATGGAAATGTCTTCAAACCGAGGGGCGAGGTTTTGTGAAAGGGCCTCGCCCTTCT